TTTGTTTTTCTTAATGTAGTTGCGCTTTGCTTTATGTAGTTTTGTTTTTCTTAATGTAGTTGCGCTTTTAGATTTGTAGTTGCAGTTTGCACTTCAGGGCCACCGTACCTATCCTTTATTCAGTCATTTTGACTTGAAGTTCTCCAATCAAACTGTGAGGCGATTGTTTGCCAATTTCCCTGTTTATAATCTGCCCCCATATGAATTTTTAAAATGAAAGTAAGATCATCTCCACACCAAAGTTCTACATCTTAGACGAATCCAATGCAGCGTGAGGGCTTGCCTTTAAGTCGATGCAATCAAATGGTTTTCCTTAGGTGGAAAATTTTGAATCAATTTGACTGTATGTTCTGCTTGAATTGTAAAGTGCCTTGAGATGACATGTGTTGTGAATTGGTGCTATATAAATAAACTGAATTGAATTGAGTAGGGGGAGCTAATGAGCCCTAATATCATGTCCTGACTGATCTCTGTAGGTACATTGAGATTTTGCGAGAAAACAGACCAAAGATGGTTTGGGATGAAATCTCTGCAGAACATCACTTCAGTTACAAAAGGTACCGACTTCATGAATCAGCAAAAACTTTTAAAAATATGATTTAACTGTGGAAGGGTTACTAAATACAGCTTCTGCCCTTTTTCCCAGAAGCAGTTCTGTAAAGCACGTGGTATACTACCCTTCACTGAAGGTAAAACTTGGTATTTTTTTTCTTATTTCCATGTCAATTATACTTTTAAAGCATTGGAGATTATAAATTTCTGATTTTTTTTTTTTTTTTTTGCAGTCCCTCCACATGAGGATCTCTTTGGCTACCGAACTGGGAACAGGAATTTCTTTATGGGAAATGGGACAAGGACTGGATTATTTCTATGATCTGCTTTAAGCATCAGACTTTTTGATAAAGAAAATTGTGAACTACCATTTTTGCTGTGTGAATTTTTCCCCCTTTTGATTTGAGGGTCATGAAAATGTGAACGTTTGTCAAAAAAATTGATTTTTGTTTTTAAAAAAAAAATCTTAAAGCAAATATTGATTCGTCAGATTGGTTTCCGTTGTGTTCATTTATAAATCTGTGATTTGTGCATTTCAGAGAGCATGGTTCATGATGATCAGGACTTTTAGCAACTACAGTATTCTGGAAAAGTCTTCACACCCATTACTGAATTTTAGCCATGAATACTGTTTTCTTTAAAAAGACTAAACAAAATTAAATTAAATTAATGTACGGTGTGTAATAAACATCTTTATAAACATTTTTAATGTACAAATGTGCATTTAAATTGTGCTCCGGTGGTTTTGAATTTTACTGATCATTTCAATATTATTCTAGGTCTCGGTTTTTGAAGGATATCAGAGCAAAAACTAAGTGAAGAAGTCGAAGCTTTATCTGTGGATCTCTGACCTATTTGTTCCAAAAAATCTGTAGAGATGTATAAAAGATCTGTTGGTAACTTCAAACATCCTGAGAAGCTGTTTTTTTTTTTTTATACATGTGGAACCACAAGAAACGGCAGAGCAAAATAAATGGGGGAAGGGCCTTGGTAAGAGAGGTGATTTAAATCTTGTCTTGCAGACATCCAGCAGTGACTGATACCGTTCACAAAACAGACCTTTATGGTGGAGCGTCCAGCAGTGATGAGCCATATGGAATTTCTATAATGTTGATTTTGTATCACTATTGCAAATACGATAAAACAATTTACTTCTGTGAAATCCTTTTTTAGGTGACTGTATTATTAAGACTGAATTATAGCCCAGCAATCAAATACTACTCTTAGAAAAACTGCAATTGGAAATGTTTTTTAGGACCCGTTACATAAAGAAGTTATCTTTTGTTTTATTTTAATCTAATTTCTAAACTGGACACAGAAAATACATTTAATTTACGTTCAATTAAGGGGGAAATGAGAGGAAAACATGGTCTTGAGCCGGAAAAGGGTAGAGTGCCTTCTCCAGATTGGGGAGGATGTGCTGCTCCTAGTGGAGGAGTTTAAGTATCTTGGGGTCTTGTTCACGAATGAGGGGAAGATGGGGCGGGAGATCGATAAGCGGATTGATGCGGCGGGCTCTGTAGTGGTGAAGAGAGAGCTGAGCCAAAAAGCAAAGCTCTTGATTTACCGGTTGATCTACGTTCCTA